GGCATGGTGGCACTGCGGGGACACGGGGACACTGTGGGGACACCGTGGGGACATCGTGGGGACACGGGGACACCGTGGGGACATGGTGGGGACATGGGGACATGGGGACAGCCAGGTGACACCAGGTGACACCGGGGACACCGGGGACACCGTGGGGACACGGTGGGGACACGGGGGGGACACTGTGGGGACATGGTGGCACCGTGGGGACACTGGGACACGGGGGGGACACTGTGGGGACACTGTGGGGACATTGTGGCACCACGGGGACATGGGGACAGCCAGGTGACACCGGGACACGGGGGGGACATGGTGGCACCATGGGGACACGGGGACAGCCAGGTGACACCAGGTGACACCATGGGGACATGGTGGCACTGCGGGGACACGGGGACAGCCAGGTGACACCGGGACACGGGGGGGACATGGTGGCACCATGGGGACACGGGGACAGCCAGGTGACACCAGGTGACACCAGGTGACACCGCGTGCCACAGGAGGGACACGGGGGGGCTCTGGGGCGTGTCCTGGTGGGCGTGGCCAAAGGGGCGTCGTCACCAAAGGGGCGTGGCTAAAGGGGGCGTGGCCACCAAAGGGGCGTGACCACCAAAGGGGCGTGGTCACCAAAGGGGCGTGGCCACCAAAGGGGCGTGGCCGCCCCGCTCCGCTCCTTGTTCGGGCCGGGGCTATTTATAGCCCGGGGGGGGAACCGGGGGTTGGGGGGTCCCGGTGACACCGGGGGGGGTCGGGACCCGGTCCCGGTGACACCGGGGGGGTCGGGACCCGGTCCCGGTGACACCGGGGGGGTCGGGACCCGGTCCCGGTCCCAAATTCCGGTCCCGAATTCCGATCCCAAATCCCGGTCCCGGTGACACCGGGGGGAGTCGGAACCCGGTCCCGGTCCCAAAGCCCGGACCCGAATTCCGATCCCAAATCCCGGTCCCGGTCCCGGACCCGAATCCCGGTCCCGGTGACACCGGGGCGGTCGGGACCCGGTCCCGGTCCCAAAGCCCGGTCCGGAATTCCGATCCCAAATTCTGGACCCGAATTCCGGTCCCGGTGACACCGTGGGGAGGGCGGGTCGGGGTCGGGTCCCGGTCCCGGTCCCGGTCCCGAATCCTGGTCCCAAATCCCGGTCCTGGTGACACCGAGAGCGTTCGGGTCCCAGTCCCGGTTCTCAGTCCTGAATCCCGAACCCAAATCCCGGTGCCGAATCCCGGTGCCCGTCCCGGTGACACCGTGGGGGGGGGGTCGAGTCTCTGTCCCGGTCCCGGTCCCAAATCCCGGTCCCGGTGACACCGGGGGTGTCCCGACCCTTCCTGACTGTCCCGGTCCCGATTTGGGTCCCTGGGGGTCTCCCGGGGGGCGTCCCGGGG